CTCGCTATAGTCATTGTCAAGTACCCATGTAGCCGATCACCCAAATATTGATTATAATTACATGATAATGCAACCTATTTCATGCATTTTAATGCATTATGTTTGTAAATAATGCATGTTAATGCATTATATTTGTAAATAATGTATTGTAATGCATTATTTGTAAAATAATGCATTAAAATGCGTTATTTGTAAAATAATGCATTAAAATGCACGAAATAGGTTGCATTATCATGTAATTATATACATTATCTGGGTGACCGGCTACATGGGTAATGTCCAAAATTTCTTGCAGTTACCATGGTAAAGATTGAATCATCTATTTGATATTTACAATATGCTACTGGACTTCTGATACTACAATTAGTTTTGCTCGATATATAATAATTGATACATTCTATTTTTTTCTCTATATTGTCATTCGATTGTATTTTAGGCAAAAATGTATGTTGTTCAGTTCATATAACTTCTTTGTTTTCTTTTTCATTTTTGACGTTTTTTTCTGTGTCACAAATGTCTGAAGAAGGAAGGGACATACGTTGTTTGTTGTCTGATTCTCTCTCTTTATCTGTATCAATGTATATATATGTTTGTTTTGTATATTGAACGTTAGTCACACCTTCTCACAGTTCACTTTTATGTCATCAACATTTCAATTCTTGAAAAATAAATATAATAAATGCCACGTAAATATATTAAAAAAAATGAAAGAAAATATAGCAATGCCAAATTTGAACAAGCTATGAACGCAATTAAAATGGTCTCAGTATTCGTCAAGCAGCAAAAGATTTTCATGTACCTTATACAACTCTATGTACACATACAGCTGGTCATGTCATTTACGAGCGAATTGGTCGACCAACTAAGTTTACAGATGTCGAAGAGTCTCACCTTGCACAATCAGTTTTAGCTTTGCAAGTAAGTAAATCGTTTCATTTCTTTTTCAGTAGAATTTGTATTGTTTCTTTGTATGAAGAAATGGGGAGAACCTGTATCAATCAATGAATTTCTAAATTTGGCAAAGCAATATGCATCTGCTCTTAACAAAGATAATTTATTTCCAAGTGATATGCCAACATATGACTGGTTGCGGTCCTTTTTATCTCGTCATTCGAATCTTGTACTCAAGAACTCTACTCCAATTGACAAAAGTCGAGCAAAAGTTACTGCTAGCCAAGTGAATGAATGGTTCAATTTATTAACCAAAGTGATTAATGACAATGATTTAGCAAATCGTCCTGGTCAGATATATAATGCTGATGACACAGGTAAAAAACTTGATTTTTTCATGTTCAGTTTCATCAAATTCTGGCTATATTGTAGGCTTTTCTGATACTACTGGTTCATCAAAAGTATTAGTTCATCGTGGCACATCCAATGCTTATAAAATTGAAGGAGGAACTGGAGGAAAGTCCTTTACTAGTGTTTTAATTTGTGCGTCTGCAACTGGACATATGTTAGCGCCATTTGTTGTCTATCGTTCAAAAAGACTCTTTCAAGAAGGGTGTATGGGCGGTCCATTAAATACAGGTTTCAGTAATACTGATAGGTGAGTTTATTTTTGTACTAGCGCAATTTTATGAACTTTATTTTAACTAGTGGATGGATGGAGAATAAAATTTTTTATGAATGGTTTCAAGAAATGTTTTTGGAAGCCACGAAGCATTTACCTCGTCCTGTACTTCTTATACTCGATGGACATAAAAGTCATTTCACGGTAGAAACACTTGAATTGGCTGTCAAAAACGAAGTGTGAGTAAACCAAATACATTGCTTGTCATGCTAAATATGATTTGACTTTTGTTGAATGTATTTCGCAATTCTTTCTTGTACGTTCTAGGATTATCTTGTGTCTTCCTCCACATGCTACTCACGTACTTCAACCCTTAGATTGTGTTTTCTTTAATCCAGTAAAAGTACAATGGAAAACGTAAGTTTTTTTTTTATTCTCAATTTTTAACTGAATATTTTCTAGAATTTTGAAAAATGAATATCAACGTACACGTAATAAGACCGTTGGCAAATCTCGTTTTCCTGCACATCTGTCACAATTATGGAAAACAGATGCAATTACAGAAAAAACTAATATTCTCAAGTCTTTCATGAAAACTGGGATTTTCCCATTGAACCCGGCATCCATCGATTGGTCAAAAATTTTACAAGATACAACAACATGTGTAAATGTCAATATTTCTTCACCAACTGTTACTGCTACATGCTTTAACAATGAGATGAACAATTCCAATGATATCTCTGCTTCTGATGTATCTACTGCATCCAACAACAACCATACCGATGTGACTAATCCATCAATCAATGTTTCAAATACTACTGTCACCGCCATTTCGTCTTTTAATTCTTCTATTCAAGCAATATCGGTTCTAGATCAAGTACTGAACGAGACAATCTTAAGTCATGACGACGAAGATGAGGATTACCTTCCGAATCGTTCAACTGGCACTTCAATCGATACAGTAACATTGTCATCCAGTCAACAATCTTGTTTGCAGCAAAGTTCCACATCTCAAGGTCAACAGCCAATCAAATCACGACGAAGTTATCGAAAGAGGAAGACACGTCCAAAAATTGGGTCTACGAAAATCGGTCGAACGAAAAATGATAGAATGAAAATTAGCCGCCGATAATTGGTCGCTACGAAAATTAGTCGTTACGAAAATTGGTTGATATGAATATCAGTCGCTATGTAAAATAGTCGACACATTCATGATTAAATGAAAAAATATTTGAAATTGAAAATTTTAGTGAGACGAGTAAATTAAGCAATGAGAAAAAAGTGACAAAAGCGATAATAAGTAAATTCTCTATACTATCACAAGTTAGGAATTATTCTTCTCTGATCTATATCAATTAATATAGGATTTTGATTACTTGAAAGAAAAATATATTCTCTTATTAATGCATCTTATAATAAGCTTAATTTCTTTATGATTAGGTTAATAGATTACCAGTAGGTTATAAAAAATCAAGATATTATAGTAGTTCAGCTTTTTGTTTTTCGTTAAAATGTCAACATTTATATTAAGTAAAACCCAAAGAAGCAAACCTTTATTACTCTGTAATGGCCTTAATTATACTATCGACAAAACAACTGATGATAAAATTTATTGGAAATGCGAATTTGCTCGAACGCTTAAATGTAAAGGTCGAGTTCATACTAATTCTCTTAATACCATTATATCACATGAAACTAATAACCATAATCATCTTGGAAATGCTGTTTCAAGTGAAATTCGAAAATTTGAAGAAAAAATTCGTGATCGTACTATTAACTATAATGAATCTACACAAACTATCATTGATAATTGTTTAACGAATTTATCGGATAGTACTGTAGTACGTATTCCAAACTTTAAACATATAAAAATTCATATTTATTTCATTATTTTTTTTT